AAAAAAAAAAAAAAAAAAAAAAAAAAAAAAAAAAAAAAAAAAAAAAAAAAAAAATAATAATAATAATAATAATAATTTTAAGTTGGAAGTTAAAACATGGATTTTAGAACTTCCCCCAAACAGTTGAAAGAATCGCCATTTGGCGGGGCGCAAGGAGCACGACAGTACTGCAATGCACGTCTTGTGGCATCGCCCACAGAGAGAAAAAAAATATGCTCTGTTCTTGTTCATCATCACTGTCAATGGAAGGATTGAACAATCTTTTTCTAATGTATTATTTCCAAATTCTACGCCTCTTCTTCTATTCAGATTCATTTTCTGGTTTGATCTTCCGAACAAAAACCTGTCAATCTCCAAAGATGGTTGGTTCTTCGCATTTCTAGGGCCTCATCACTACCCACTTCAACTCTCTCTCTCTCCCTTTTCCCATCCATATTCCGTTTCTTTATTCTCGATTCCGTTTTCCATTTCTCTCTGTTTGTTTCTCTTTCTATTTTCCATTTCTCTTCTTTCGTTAACGATGGCGATATTAATTCTTGTCTATTCATCTTTGTAATTCGTTTTTTTTTTCTGATTGAGGAAAAGGAATTCTGATCTAGGTTTTTAGTTTTCTCGTGTTATCTCTTGAATCGGTGGGTTTTTTTTTTTTTTTTTTTTTTTTTTTTTTTTNTTTTTTTTTTTTTTTTTTTTTTTTTTTTTTTTTTTTTTTTTTTTTTTTTTTTTTTTTTTTTTTTTTTTTTTTTTTTTTTTTTTTGTTGTTGTTGTTGTTGTTGTTGTTGTTGTTGTTTCTTGCGCATTTAGGGTTTGGTTTTTTCTTCCTATATGTTTTTCATTTGAATTTCCTGAAATATTCGTTGGGAGTTCATGATTTATGTTTGGTTGAATCTGCGAATTGTTGGAAATGATGGCAAATTGTTGTAAATGTGTTGACAGAGGGGAAACTTTGGGGTTTTCCCAGGAAAATGCAGGTTTATCAATGGTAGAAAACGGTGGTGAATAAACGTTTGAGGGAGTATGGGCTGCCTTTGCTCAAGAGATTCCTCAGAACCAGAGGATGGCAGTCAATTATCTGAAAAACATTTGGATGAATCTTCGGTTCAATTGGTTGCTCCTTCTCCCTTAAAAAGAGAGAATATGTTGCAAGAGATTCAGTTGTCAAGGCAGGAATCAAAAGCAAATGGGAGTTCTGTTCATAAAAGAAAGGGTAATGGAGGGTCTGTCCATCGAGCAAAGGAGGGTGATGAATCTGTGAATAAATCCATGAAGGCTGCAAAAGTAAATGATGATAATGCTTCAGGAGGTGGAAAACGGCCTGACATTTTTAGGTTAGCTAGCATGTCTAAAGCGGTTGAAGCTGAACATGTCATGGCTGGATGGCCTTCATGGTTAGCTTCTGTTGCTGGAGAAGCTATCAAAGGGTGGGTGCCTCGCCGGGTTGACTCCTTTGAAAAGTTGGATAAAGTTAGTTCCATTTATTATGTTCTCTTTTACTTAAATTCTTTAGAATCCTTTGACTCTAATGTTTCAATCTAATTAATGTTCTGAACAGCATGCATTTTTCCTTCAAATGAGTTTCTCCACGTTGGTCGAGTGCTTGTTCTTTTTATTCTCATTGATTGGAATGACCCAAGCCTACCTCTAGTAGATATTGTTCTCTTTGGCTTTCCCTTTCAGGCTTCTTCTCAAGGTTTTTAAAATGCATCGGCTAGGGAGAGATTTTCCACACCCTTTATAAAGAATGCTTCGTTCTCCTCCCCAATTGAGGTGGGATCTCACAATCCACACTCCTCAAGGCCTAGCTTCCTCGCTAGCACTCGTTCCCTTCTCCAATTGATGTGGGACCCTCTAATCCACCCCCTTCGGGGCCCAGTGTCATTGTTGGCACATCGTCTCCTTCGGGCCTTAGCCTCCTCGCTGGCATATTGCTCGGTGTCTAGCTCTAATACCATTTGTAACAGCCCAAACCCACCACTAGTAGATATTGTTCGCTTTGGGCTTTCCCTCAAAATTTTTAAAATGCGTCTGCTATGGAGAGGTTCCCACACCCTTATAAAAAATGATTCGTTCTCCTCCCGAATTGATGTGAGATATCACATTGATATTCCAATTCTCTTTCTTTCGTTGGGTAAATGTCTTGTACATATGTTACATAGCTAGATGCTTTTTTTCGTTAACATGTGACGTGGAGATTTGAGCCTATGACCTTTTTATTAAGGATATAATGTCTTTACCAGCCAAGTTATGCTTAGATTGACATGTTACAATAATGTTATTAGTCCCATGGAAAGAAGCAAGGGGGAACGGGCCATAGAGAGCTTATAGTAAACCCCATGACAGCCCCAGGGGTGGTGGGTATAGGTAGGAATTCCAAGTTAGAGGGTCCCACATCTGCTGTGCATGTCTCTCGATCTCATTTTGCATCAATATGTGCTGATAATCCCATTGTGTTCTTTCCTATATGCAGATTGGACAGGGAACTTACAGCAGTGTATATAAAGCCCGTGACCTTGAAACTGGTAAAATTGTGGCATTGAAAAAAGTGAGATTTGTAAATAAGGATCCCGAAAGTGTCCGTTTTATGGCTAGGGAAATCTATATTTTGCGCAAACTGGATCATCCAAATGTTATGAAGCTCGAGGCTCTAGTCGCTTCCAGAATGTCGAGCAACTTGTACCTTGTTTTTGAGTACATGGAGCATGACCTTGCTGGTCTTGTGGCAGCTCCTGGACATAAGTTTACGGAGGCTCAAGTATCTTCGCTGCTTCTCTTGAGCATTTCAAATTTTGACTTCAACTAGAACCATTTTGAAAATGAATGCTTATTCAAACTGAGCCATCTAAAGCAGTGTTATTTTGTGCTTGCAGATTAAATGTTACGTGCAACAATTGCTGCATGGACTTGAACACTGTCATAGTCGGGGAATTCTACACCGGGATATCAAAGCTTCAAATCTTCTCATTGACAATAATGGTGTGCTCAAGATTGCAGACTTTGGTCTTGCTACCTCTTTTCATCCTGATCGAAAGCAGCCATTGACAAGTCGGGTAGTGACGTTGTGGTACAGGGCACCTGAGCTTTTGCTCGGCGCTACTCAATATGGACCTGCCATAGATCTCTGGAGCTGTGGTTGTATCACTGCTGAACTATTTGCTGGAAAACCTATTATGCCAGGAAGAACAGAGGTTCGATCATCCACTCGTTAGCCTGTTCTATTTCTTGCAAACTTTTAAGAAAATGAGAAAAAACAATTACCTGTTCCATAAAAGTCACTTGGATGTTGTTGAATTGTTTATCAGGTGGAACAAATCCACAAGATTTTTAAGCTCTGTGGCTCACCATCTGAGGAATTCTGGCGGAGAACAAAGTTGCCACATGCAACCAGCTACAAACCACAACACCGTTATAAAAGCTGCCTCTCTGATACTTACAAAAGTTTCCCTTCTTCAGCTCTGGCTCTCATTAATAAGCTTCTTGCTATTGAACCAGAGCACAGAGGATCAGCTTCTTCAGCTCTTGGAAGTGAGGTATTTTCTATTGAGGATTGTTGGAGGAAGTCTCACGTTGACTAATTTAGGGAATGATCATGGATTTATAAGTAAGGAATACATCTCCATTGATACGAGGTCTTTTGGAGAAGCTCAAAGCAAAGTCACGAGAGCTTATGCTCAAAGTGGACAATATCATACCATTGTGGAGAGTCGTGATTCCTAACATGGTATCAGAGCCATGTAAAGTGACTCAAGTGTCGGACAAAGGGTGTACTTTGTTCGAGGTCCCTAGAAAAGGAGTCGAGCGTCGATTAAGGGGAGCCTGTTCGAGGGCTCCATAGGCCTCAGGGGAGGCTCTGTAGTGTACTTTGTTCGAGGGGAGGATTGTTGAGGATTGTTGGGAGAGAATCCCACGTTGGCTAATTTAGGGAATGATCATGGGTTTATTAGTAAGGAATATCTCTATTGGTATGAGATCTTTTGGGGAAGCCCAAAGCAAAGCAAAGCCAGGAGAGCTTATGTTCAAAGTGGACAATATCATACAATTGTAGAGAGTCGTGATTCTTAACATAAACTTTGCGTGGTTTTTTCGTTGAAATAAAAGTGCTTCTTGTTGATGTGTTCTTCTGTATGATATGTTGCTATCCGGTTTTGCAGTTTTTCAGAACAGAACCTCTCCCTTGTGACCCCTCAAGCTTACCAAAGTATGCTCCGAGCAAAGAATTTGATGCCAAGCTGCGGAATGAAGAAGAAAGGAAGTATGGTTTTAAGCTTGTTTCTTTTTTGTTATACTTAATAACCCGTCTTATATGCATACAATTCTCTTAATTTCAGGAGAAAAGCAGAAGCTGTGAAGGGATGGCATCCTGAATCAGTAAGAAGGGGCTCAAGAGACACCAAGGTAGTTCCTACTCCTGAATTCAGTGCTCAAGGAGATGTGACCATAAAGGTATATGTCAAGAATTGGAAACTATTTGTTCATTAGTTTGAGATGAAAATTGTGAAAAAATGCTATCACTTGGGTAGACTTGTGGATAACTATTTGTTTGTAATGGTCCAAGCCTTTCGCTAACCGATATTGTCCTCTTTGGGCTTTCCCTGTCGGGCTTCCCCTCGAAGTTTTTAAAACGCGTTTGCTAGGGAGAGGTTTCCACACCTTCATAAAGAATGCTTTTTAAAACGCGTATGCTAGGGAGAGGTTTCCATAACTTCATAAAGAATGCTTTTTTTCCCCTCTCCCACGGATGTGGAATCTCACAATTCACCCCATTTGGGCCCAGTATCCTTGCTGGCACTCATTCCCTTCTACAATTGATGTGGGACCCCCCAATCCCACTCTCCTTTGGGGCTCAGCCTCCTTGCTGGCACATCGCCCGATGTCTGGCTCTGATACCATTCGTAACGGCCCAAGCCCACTGCTAAACGATATTGTCCTCTTTGATCTTTCCCTTTTGGGCTTCCCCTCAAGGTTGTTAAAATGCGTTTGATAGGGAGACATTTCCACCCCTTATAACAAATGTTTTATTTCCCTCTCCAACCGATGTGAGATCTCACAATGAGGGGAAGCTTGAAAGTCCGAAAGGAAAAGCCCCAAAGTAGGCAATATCGGCTAGCGGTGGGCTTGGGTTGTTACATTGTTCATGTTATGTATTATGTAAAAACAATGCTTTTGAAAAAAAAACAATATTCACCTTAGAACATACCTTTCTCATTGACAAAAATTGCAGGTACACCCGCTCGCGAAAAAGATTAACAAATACACCTCCCAAGAGGACAGCGAGCCTCCGAGAGTTGCGCAGAGTAGGTACGGCCACTCGACATCTATGGTGCACCCAAGCATTGCAGGTTCATGGGCCAAGCCTACTGGAGCCGCAAGAAATTGTGTAGAGTTAAAGACACAGAAATCTCAGATGCATCAGCCAGTGGGAGATTTATCAACCTGTGCTCTCAAGAAGGAAGAGGTAGTGTCTTGACATGTTCCAGCTTCTTGGTACACATGATTAATAGAAAATCAATGACTTGATAGAACAAGTTTAACTAAATTGTTCTCAAAATCATTTAACGTAGAGGGAGTGCAATCCCTACCGTCTTAAGTCCACCGCTAGTAGATATTATCATCTTTGGATTTTCCCTTTTGAGCTTCCCCTCAAGGTTTTTAAAATGCGTTTGTTAGGGAGAAGTTTCCAGACCCTTATAAAAAATGTTTCGTTCTCCTCTTCAATCGATGTGGGATCTCACAGTTCATCCCTTTCGGGGCCCAGCGTCTTCGTTGGCACTCGTTTCCTTCTACAAACAATGTGGGACCCTCCAATCTACTCTTCTTCGGGGCTTAGCGTCCTTGCTGACGCACCACCTCGTGTCCACCCCCCTTTGAGGCATAGCCTCCTCGCTGGTACATCGCCTGGTGTTTGGCTCTGATACCATTTGTAACAGTTTAAGCCTCACTGCTGGTAGATATTGTCCTCTTTGAGTTTTCCCTTTCGAGTTTTCAAGGTTTTTAAAACGCTTCTACTAGGGAGAGGTTTCCACTCTCTTATAAAGAATGCTTCATTCTCTTCCCCAACCGATGAGGGATCTAGTGAATCTGACTATGAACATTTGATTTGTAGGGTTGTGTTCAAAAGAAGACCAGAATGCAATTCTCAGGACCGTTGGTGGCTACAGGGGGAACCATTGAAGACTTGTTGAAGGATCACGAGAGACAAATCCAGCAGGCTTTTCGAAAGGCACGTCTCGACAAAGAGAAGAACACGAGTTAGGTGATCAGCTTGGAACCGAAGCCGATAATTCTCGAGATCAAAGACTAACTTCGGTAACATGAAAGGTTTGAAGTTTCTCCTGCTCTCAAACTGAATGCTCTGCTGCAACTTTGTCTGCAAAGAACCATAAAAACCTTGACCAATATAATATTGATGCTAATGTTGTGTATATAAGGAACAATAAGGATTGAAAATTACATGTACCCCAGGGATTCTACAGCTCTTTAAAAACGAAAATTTTGCCCCAAAAGTAGAACAGAACAGCTTCTAATTGTTGACAAGGCCACAGGGACAGAGGAGTTGTGTAGTTGTTGCCAAAGTACATAGTGTTGGGAATTGGTTTGTTGTGTATAGAGGGAGTGAAGGGCTTCATGAGACAACATCTTTCAATTAATACCTAATTTTAAGTATCTCCTTTTCTTGATAAATTCTTGCAATTTGATTTAACAATCTTGTTGAAGAACGGTACGATTAGATCTAAATTATCAAAGAACCCCAAAAACGCATAAGAATCACAACGTTAGGAAAAGTTGAGGGCACCTTCCACGAATGAACCTAAAAGAATTCACAACTCAATCCAACTCTCTATTTTTAAACTAGATTGGGTCATGAGCCATGTTTTTAGTTAGTCGGAGTGTTTGTAATTAGCTGGATTGACCCTCTTAAATGATGAAAGTCCCACATCGGCTAATTTAGGGAATGATCATGGGTTTATAAGTGAGGAATACTAACTTCATTGGAATGAGGCCTTTTGGGAAGCCCAAAGCAAAGCCATGAGAGCTTATGCTCAAAGTGGACAATATCATACCATTGTGAAGAGTCGTGTTCGTCTAACATGGTATCAGAGCCTGCCCTAAACTTAGCCGTGCCAATAGATTGGCAAATCCTCGAATGTCGAACAAAGGACTCCAAAAAGAAAAAAGGAGTCAAGCCTCCTCGAAGGTACGAAGGCAGTAAAAAATGACTAAGACTCCAAAGGAGTCGAGCCTTTGGAGTCGAGCCTCGATTAAGGGGAGGCGTGCTTTGTTCGAGGGGAGGTGTTGGATGATGAAAGTCCCACATCGGCTAATTTAGGGAATGATCATGGGTTTATAAGTGAGGAATACTAACTCCATTGGTATGAGGCCTTTTGGGAAGCCCAAAGCAAAGCCATGAGAGCTTATGCTCAAAGTGGACAATATCATACCATTGTGGAGAGTCGTGTTCGTCTAACATGGTATCAGAGCCTGCCCTAAACTTAGCCGTGCCAATAGATTGGCAAATCCTCGAATGTCGAACAAAGGACTCCAAAAAGAAAAAAGGAGTCAAGCCTCCTCGAAGGTACGAAGGCAGTCAAAAATGACTAAGACTCCAAAGGAGTCGAGCCTCGATTAAGGGGAGGCGTGCTTTGTTCGAGGGGAGGTGTTGGATGATGAAAGTCCCACATCGGTTAATTTAGGGAATGGTCATGGGTTTATAATCTAAGAATACACTCTCCATTGGTATGAGGCCTTTTGGGAAGCCCAAAGCAAAGCCATGAGAGCTTATGCTCAAAGTGGACAATATCATACCATTGTGAAGAGTCGTGTTCGTCTAACATGGTATCAGAGCCTGCCCTAAACTTAGCCGTGCCAATAGATTGGCAAATCCTCGAATGTCGAACAAAGGACTCCAAAAAGAAAAAAGGAGTCAAGCCTCCTCGAAGGTACGAAGGCAGTAAAAAATGACTAAGACTCCAAAGGAGTCGAGCCTTTGGAGTCGAGCCTCGATTAAGGGGAGGCGTGCTTTGTTCGAGGGGAGGTGTTGGATGATGAAAGTCCCACATCGGGCCCAAAGCAAAGCCATGAGAGCTTATGCTCAAAGTGGACAATATCATACTATTGTGAAGAGTCGTGTTCGTCTAACATGGTATCAGAGCCTGCCCTAAACTTAGCCGTGCCAATAGATTGGCAAATCCTCGAATGTCGAACAAAGGACTCCAAAAAGAAAAAAGAAGTCAAGCCTCCTCGAAGGTACGAAGGCAGTAAAAAATGACTAAGATTCCAAAGGAGTCGAGCCTCGATTAAGGGGAGGCGCGCTTTGTTCGAGGGGAGGTGTTGGATGATGAAAGTCCCACATCGGAGCCTCGATTAAGGGGAGGCGCGCTTTGTTCGAGGGGAGGTGTTGGATGATGAAAGTCCCACATCGGCTAATTTAGGGAATGATCATGGGTTTATAAGTGAGGAATACTAACTCCATTAGAATGAGCCCTTTTGGGAAGCCCAAAGCAAAGCCATGAGAGCTTATGCTCAAACAATATCATACCATTATGGAGAGTCGTGTTCGTCTAACATGGTATCAGAGTCTGCCCTAAACTTAGCTGTGCCAATAGATTGGCAAATCCTCGAATGTTGAACAAAGGACTCTAAAAAGAAAAAAGGAGTCAAGCCTCCTCGAAGGTACGAAGGCAGTCAAAAATGACTAAGACTCCAAAGGAGTCGAGCCTCGATTAAGGGGAGGCGTGCTTTGTTCGAGGGGAGGTGTTGGATGATGAAAGTCCCACATCGGCTAATTTAGGGAATGATCATGGGTTTATAAGTGAGGAATACTAACTCCATTAGAATGAGGCCTTTTGGGAAGCCCAAAGCAAAGCCATGAGAGCATATGCTCAAAGTGGACAATATCATACCATTGTGGAGAGTCGTGTTCGTCTAACATGGTATCAGAGCCTGCCCTAAACTTAGCCGTGCCAATAGATTGGCAAATCCTCGAATGTCGAACAAAGGACTCCAAAAAGAAAAAAGGAGTCAAGCCTCCTCGAAGGTACGAAGGCAGTCAAAAATGACTAAGACTCCAAAGGAGTCGAGCCTTTGGAGTCGAGCCTCGATTAAGGGGAGGCGTGCTTTGTTCGAGGGGAGGTGTTGGATGATGAAAGTCCCACATCGGCTAATTTAGGAAATGATCATGGGTTTATAAGTGAGGAATACTAACTCCATTGGAATGAGGCATTTTGGGAAGTCCAAAGCAAAGCCATGAGAGCTTATGCTCAAAGTGTAACTCCATTGGAATGAGGCATTTTGGGAAGTCCAAAGCAAAGCCATGAGAGCTTATGCTCAAAGTGGACAATATCATACCATTGTGGAGAGTCGTGTTTGTCTAACAGACCCAACAAAAAAAAAAATTCCAACCCATGAATAGAATTGAATCTTCGATTTTCCAAAAATTCAACCAAATTCAAAAAAAAAAAATTCCAACCCATGAATAGAATTGAATCTTCGATTTTCCAAAAATTCAACCAAATTCAATTTTTGTCCTTCAAGACCATCAATATAAATATAAATATAATTCAGCCGTAGAGACTAATTTTCTTTAGATGGGAGGTTCAAATCTCTAGACTCCGCTCCATGTTTTATTGTACTCGAACAAACAAAGGACGCTAAATAAGAGCCGAAATAGAGAGACAAACATCAATGTTCGTTTCCAAATTGTTTTTTGATGTCGCTGAAGGAGATGGTTGCAGATCCCCTTCTTTTTGCCTTCTGTTGAGAAGAATGTTCCTTCCATCCTGTCATATAGATCACCTGTAATTGCAGGCAGAAGAATTTTTCAATCATCATTTAACAAATCAACCGAACTAATCGAGTCGATTCGAGTTCCAGATATTCCTGGTCACTTTGTGTTCATAGAATATAAAACAAAAAAGAGTCGTCTCAAGTTTGATAAATTTGATATGATCTTCGTCAGTTTCGATTCGGTTCAATTAGTTTTGGACTAGCAATCAGCTTCAAATTTTAGAAGGTTGGGTTTTTACTAGTAGTTCAGTTGGGTAACGGTTTAGGCTTAACGTCAAACAGAACTAACATGCTGACAACCTAGGTAAAGCATAAAGTATAATGGCTTAACCCCACCGCTAGCAGATATTGTCCTCTTTGGGCTAACTATCAGAGCTAGACACTGGGCAGTGTGCCAACAAGGAGGCTGAGCCCCGAGAGGGGTAGACATGAGGCAGTGTGTCAGCAAGGATGCTGGCCCTGAAGGGAGGTGGATTGTGGGGTTGCACATCGATTGGAGAAGGGAACGTGTAACGACCCAGGCCCACCGTTAGCAGATATTATCCTCTTTGGGCTTTCCCTTTCGGGCTTCCCTTCAAAGCTTTAAAACGCGTCTGCTAGGGGAAGGTTTCCACACCCTTTTAAAGGGTGATTTGTTCTCCTCCCCAACCAATGTGGGACATCACAATCCACCCCCCTTCAGGGCCAGAATTGTGGGGTTGCACATCGATTGGAGAAGGGAACGTGTAACGACCCAGGCCCACCGTTAGCAGATATTATCCTCCTTGGGCTTTCCCTTTCGGGCTTCCCTTCAAAGCTTTAAAATGAGTCTGCTAGGGGAAAGTTTCCACACCCTTTTAAAGGGTGATTTGTTCTCCTCCCCAACCAATGTGGGACATCACAATCCACCCCCCTTCGGGGCTCAGCGAGGACGCTGGCACTCGTTCCTTTTTCCAATCGATGTGGGGCTGCCTCCAAATCCACCCCCTTTTGGGGTCCAGCGTCCTTACTGGCACAACGCCTCGTGTCTACCCCCCTTCGAGGAACCGCGAGAAGGCTGACACATCGTCCGGTGTCTGGCTCTGATACCAATTGTAACGACCCAGGCCCACTGCTAGTAGATATTGTCCTCTTTGGGCTTTCCCTTTCGGGCTTCTCCTCGAGGCTTTAAAAACCATCTACTAGGGAAAGGTTTCCACATCCTTATAAAGAGTGATTTGCTCTCAAGGGGGTGGATTGTGAGATCCCAGCATTCTTTATAAAGGTGTGAAAACCTCTCCCTAGTAGAAGAGTTTTAAAAACTTTGAGGGGAAGCCCGAGATGGAAAGCCCAAAGAGGACAATATCTACTAGCGGTGGGCTTGGGCCGTTACACATAGCCAATGAACAAGAACAAACTCAAATTATTTACAAAGGTGCACTCTACTAAGCTGACCTGGAAAGTTGCAGGAATGGTTCCATCTTCTGCAGCAAACATGGAATCGTAAATGGCTGCTGTTGCAAGGGCTGTTTCTCTCTTCAGGATCTGAGCTCCATTATTTAAACATCAATGATATAAAGATCAAAAACATAAACTTCAATGGAACGAGTATGCCAATTACCGCTGTTATGCTCAAGTAGTCTCGATGATCAATGATTCTTAGTTTATGAATACAAGATGATATCAAAAAGTGAAAACATGAAGTCAATATGATACTCATTTTCTTATAGAGCAAGGAGGAAATCTTACAGGATTCCTTTGTAGAAGAGCATTTGTTTCGCCCATTGCACGCAAGTGTTCCACCAACTCCAGTGCTTAATATAAGGCAAACGAACCAAAAAAAAAAAAAAAGAAAAAGAAAAAAGAACACATTAAACATAAGATAAGTACACCGAAGTGCAATATTTTTATTTCGATTGTAAATTTTCGATCGTCT